GACTCTAAATCCCTCATTCTTTCCATTGCTCATGTTCCTTAGACTCCTAAAAATGGGGATAAGATGGCCTCACTGAATTTTCCAGCCTTGCCCCATTTTACCATTTTCTCCCCAACTTCCAGAGCTACCTATGTAATTTATTTAATGGTGCCTTAGTTAATTAAAATCGAATGGGGGTAGGGGAGGGGTTTGCTTATTTATAGCTGCCTGGCCAATACTGCTACAATTAAAAAGAGAATCCTCCCTTCTTGGAGAGAGTGATGGATTTAAGAGAATGATTATAATTGGAGAGTCCCATCACCCTATACATCAATGATCCATTCTTTCTCCTGTAACTTCTTTATAAAACGGCAAAAGGGTTATGGCCACTGATTCCAGGAGACTTGTTTTAAGGAAATAATCAAAGTGGGAATAAAGGTGGAAGGGATTAAAAGAAAGGTCCTTCCATCAAGTTTAATTTTTCTTGAGTGTTGGCTACAACTCTTATAATCTACTTTTTCATCAGTTTTCAAAATGTTTTGCATTTGAAGCAAACAATTTTAAGCTCTATTTTGTGAAAAATTGAGCAAATTTTGTTTTTCTAATAAGCCCCATTCAATTTTCTGTTTGCCTTCAGTTTTTAAAATGAAAGAACTCCAAAAGAACAATAACAGGAAATTAAAATTGTGGCTTGGAGTCACTCCAAGACATAAATCTCAAATTAGAAGAAACTACAGTCCGTTAGATATTAGGTGTCCAAAGTATTTCTGAGGACCTCCAGATGTTCATTAGCACTACTTTACAGGAATTACTACCAGCAATAGGTCATTTTCACCTGAAGCAAGGTAAATGCAGGAAGTGAAATTGAACAAAGGGCTTTTGTCTCTGAGTTTGTTACTATAATAAATCTGGAAAAAGACTAGATTCATAAGTATAGGAAAGGGCCCTCGTTGATGAAAAAACAATGAGCCATCAAAACTGAAAATGTTTCCCACAGGCTATGACTAGCATTTACTGTAGGAAACTAATCACATGCTGCATCAATTCTCTCTATAAATTGGCAAACCCCAGAAAATGAAGACAAGAAACCACTAGCAATAAAATTGCCTCATATCAAGTTGGAGTGTCAGAGATGGGACAAAGAAAAAGGTTAGAGGAAAAGGTAGTTCTCTCTTGGGGGACAGGGTGGAGGAAACATCCCACCTATCACCTGAATATTTTATTCTGTGGGCTTTAGGTATGGCCTACATGACTAGTACAACTGCTGCTTTGTGTTTTGAACTCATGAAAATATCAGGGGAAAAACCACTTTGTCAGTGTACTTCAAACACTGTGTTGGTATAGTTTTGATGGAATTCAGCATCAAATTTTACAAAGTTCAGCAAAATCAAAATGTTGGGCTGCTAAATAAATATTTTGCTCCTATATTCACTAGTTTTAAAATGCTTTAGTAGAAACCAGCTCCAATCTTTAAAGTTGTTCTGTTGATGGGAGTCGGGATTATGAGAATTCACTGGGCTAATGCAAAATACATTAGCTTTAATAGAAGCTCTTCTGACCCCAACTGTCACCAAAGGATTGACCCAAATAGGTGATTTGGCATTTTACTTCATTTGTTAAGATAAAACATATGCTATCATTTGTAATAAATCTGACAATATTCATTTTTCATTTAGACAACACTGGAGGGGAATGGGTATGCCTCTTGGAGAGATCAGAGGGAATTAAAGGAAGAAGGAAAATATTCCTCTTAGGGTCTTTAGCAAATTAGCCTCTAATTTTAGTCAAAAGCTACAAAAATTTCTTTGTGCTACTTTTGACATTATAGGTATGTTGCTTTTTTTTTGTTTGATTAATTTCAAGAATCTTAAAATCTAATTTTTTTTATCTTGGTTATGATTGGACTCCGGCTTATAAAAAGAATAAAGCAAAGGCACTTTGAAAGAAGTGAGACAGAAATGCTTTATTTTTGTAATGGCCATGTCATCTTGGCCTAAAAACTTGTTAATTTGCAAGGTATCATTTCTGCCTGTAGATAAAGAATATGATAACTGTGCTGCCAAGTGATACATGAGTCAAGATGAACTCAACCTACTTCTTTATCATTTATGGATCCAACCTCTCTTCTTCTAATAGGCACAAACTCCAGGCAATTTAATTTGGTTCCTTTGTGAACTTTGCTGGTGGCATCCTACCCAGTCAATGTCTGGCTTTGTTGAATTGGTATTCTACAGTTTAAAAGCAATTAGATACCAGAAAAAGTACATGTATGGGGGTGAGGGGGAGATTAGGAAGATGTAATTTTAATTGGAAAAAGGTAAGAATTCCTTTGAACCCTATGACCTAGCACTGTTTTCAAGAGAATAAAATAAATACATCTCACAAATTCGAGTGGTTTTTGAAATAGTATTTCTGTCTAGAATAAGTGAAATACGTCATCTCATTTATGTAATGAAAATGACATAAAATCAACTTCTGAATGCAGATCAAATGTGATCATTTTTAAAAGAAAAAAATCTAAATAAAATCCGGTATAACTGACAATTACAACGTTGCACCTTGAAAATTTTGCATCGATTAAAGCTGCTACCTTTCAACAAGAACTGTTAAAGTGACTCAGATTTGACATAACCACAGCTTCTCTACCTCTTTCCCTTGGAGAAAACAAAACAAAACAAAACAAATCTTCTCAGTAAAACATTGGCAAAAAATGTTATGTGTCCTGTAGGGACTCTAGTTTATGGACCACTACTATTTATCTTTGAGAACTCAGGCAGAGAAAGTCTTTGTTATTTCTTAAAACTTTCTTCCATGATGCAGTGGAAAGAACATTTGTTTGGCAATCAAAAGGACCTGGTTCTGCCACTTTGTGACCATGAAGCCTTGGACAAATCACTTCCCCTCTTTCATCATTTGTAACAGTAGGAGTTGGACTAGATGATTTCTGAGGTTCCTCCTAGCTGGAAATGTATGGATTCAATCAATGCTCCTATGATTCCTGACATAAGAAACTCTATTGGATTTTGTATGGCATACTATATTGAAACTCCTCTGCCTGTCATTAAAGGTGCTCTATCAGCCTCTTACTGACATATTTCTCAAGCCTTGTACCTCAGCCCACCGAGGTCTTATACTCTAACCAAGTAAAATCAGTTCCATACACTCCACATGGCAATTTCTTTGCTATGCTTTACCCTTTCTTTACCTGGAAAACCAGAGCTAATGGACAAAACGGAATTTCCCCATCCTAATATTCCCTTGCTTGCTCTGTGGAAAATTGTCATGTAGAACAAGAAGAGAGGACAATCACACTAACAATGTATTCATCACTTTGGAATTACCTTTCCTAGTTTATAGGCACTGTCACATACATAATTGCATTTTGATCAACAAACCATACTGGGCTTCTTAGGTGGTAAATTTCATTAAATGGCTATTCTCCAATTAGATACTAATGGTTTTAGTGGAAAAAAATAGCTCACAATTTTAGAGATGTCACTAAAATATGCTTGACCAAAATTCAGGAGCTGTATTTAATTGATATATACTTCTTAGATCATGTTCACTATCTTTAAATGCCTAATACTAAGTTTTATTTAAATATGTTGATTCTATTATTCTTCCTGTGTTCCTTGGCAAATAACTAGAGATATTTAAAAAAACCCCAGCAATATTTAAATAAATAGCCTGTCATTAATATAGAAGTGTTATGATATTTGAGAGTTAACTCATTTTGTGATTATACATGCATATATCAAGCTTTCTTCTTATTTGCATGATTCTAAAGTCTACCCTTTATCTTTAAAAATAGTCAGCTACATATGCGGAATGTTAAACTTCCATTATAGAAGGTGAAAAGGTTGAAACGATTTTTAAATAGTTTTAAATCCAGAACCATTTCCTTCCTCTCTCTGTTTCAAGGCATCTAGTTGGCCTGCACAGCCAGCCACGACGTTTTAATAATCTCTTCTTTTTTTTCTCTTTGGCAGTTATCTTTATTCTATGAAATGAGTTTTATTTCGGGTACCTGCATTTTCACCACTACATTTGGCTATGATGTATTTCAGTGTGGGACATTTACCCACTCTTCCCCTCTCACTATCTTATGGACATATGGCTTCTGGCTCATCAGTTATGATACCCCTTACGAGAGCTTTTTTCACCAGTCTTTTCTTTACAGTTATCATTACCTTCAGCAGGAATAATGCCCCCGGCCGTAGAGCAGTGTTTCCAGGTTTGAGAAGCTGGTAACATTAGTCAGACATACAATTAATTCATTATTCTAATCAAGATTTGAGATAACACACATACCTTGCTGTTGGATCACTCGAATGAAGGCACTTAGAGTCACCCTAATTGCAGAAAAGGAATCTAGGAGGGGGAGGGGGAAACACCTCCAGGGCTGAAATTGCAAACCTAAAGTGATAGCAGAAATCACATTGAGATGACATTGGAATCCTCTACTATGGACTCAATGGCCATTTGCTTGTTAGTGAATGGGAAAAGAAAAGGAGGCAAGGAAAGAGTCACTTGAAGTGGGCATAGAAGTAGGTCACTGTAGAACTGTACACAAGGTAGAAAACTCACCTTTAAATAAAGGAAATTTATGACCCTTGTGTTTTTTTTTTCCTCATAACTTTGCCTTCTACAGTGGAGGGTGGGTGAGAATGAGTAGAAAGAGGAAGGGAAAGAGATTTTTGCCTCCAGTAAATTGTCATCTTGTGCGATGTTTATAAAGCATGGAGAGTGATGTTCTCTGGTATCTAAAGGGCTGATAAGCTAAGACAGCTTATCACTGGAACTCTCAGTCTTTGGCATAAACCATCTGCATTCCCCCAACTGCTGTGACATAGTCTTATCCATCTGCTAACCAGCTCAAAGGAAAAAAAAAATTCCACAAAAAGCTTGGGTGAACGATTCTGAGGAAAATGTTAAGTGCCTATCAAGGGTCATGTGTTCAAATTTTACACTAATAAGCTACCTAGAAAAAATTACGGGGTCGATACAAACATGCAACTTACTGCTGAGTAGAAAAAGACATTGAGACGAATCTCGATATCATCAAATACCAATGACAACGTTGTCAGATGGTTTAATCTTCATATTTACAGATGATCTCAGCCTTGGTGACTTGAGCTTTGGGAGCCCTAAGAAGGAAAATTTGTAAAAATAAAGCAGCATAGATCAGTGGTACAATATAGATTGGGTCTAATCACAGGACTGCATCAATTTCCCTTAGAACACATCATAAGGTATTAGTCTACACATACTTGTCAGTGTCTTCATGGAACTACCTGGTTTGAGAACAGGTAGAGTGAAAGGCCATTACTGTGTGATCAGTGGAACCTTTTCTTACTCACCTAAAGACATTCCTGAGGTAGGCCAAAGATTTTGAGTCAAATCTTTAATTCATTAAGTAAACAACTCATTATTAAAAACCAGTCATTCTATGGCATAATTTTCCAACTGGTTGTAATGGGAACAAAACAAGAAAGGGCTAGTACTTTTCACAAGATTTTAGCTGTGGCCAGACAGAAACAAGAATTATAATAAATGGTTGGTAACACACACACACACACACACACACACACACACACACACACACACACAAAATACCACAAAGAAATGGAATCATAGTGTAGGTGGAATTTGTATGAGAATTACCTATAGACTCTCAATGAAAAAAAAGCTTTTAAACTTTGTCAGCCTTTAAATGCACATTTACACTATTACACACAGAGCTGCTTTCTTAAAATATATACCTCAGGGTTGGAATTGAAGCAGCTTGCATATTTACATTTTATTTTGTGGTCTGTATTATTTTGACTCAACATGATATAGATTCATGATAAATAAATTAACTATTTCTTGGGTTGAAAGGCAAGCAGGATCTAAATGATTTTTAGTCCCACTAAAGGAACTGATAAATAGCTAGAAAATCTCTTTTCTTGACATAAGAATCCTCTACCTTCTGACATTTAAAAAACTATATTAAACCACTCTGTTCTCACAAGCTGTTGAATTCAATGATATAACTGAACAAACATTTACAAACACTTCCTAGGTGCTAAGTGTGTGTATGTGTGGAAAAGGGTAGACACAAAGATATGGAACTACAAAGTGGTGGGGTTATTTTTGGGGGGGTAGGGGAGAAATGACAAATATGTCAACAAATATAATACAAAGCACACTATAAGAGCCACCAGAAAGAAGAAAAAATGCGATAGTGATTCAAAGGAATGTCATCATGAATGTAAAGGGAAGAGCAGGAAATTTATGGAAGATCTGACAGTTAAGATGATTTTTGAACGATGGATATGATTTTGACAAATAGATAACATCCCAAATGAATGGAATGATATTAGCAAAACCCTGAAGGATGCAAAATATAGGGGGTGTCAAGGAAAAAGAAAACAGGCTAGTTTGGGTGGAACATGGAGTATATGTGGACAAGAGTTAAAGGTGGGAAAGGGAAGGCCTAAGCAGATTGTGCGAGGTTAAGTAAAGAATGGGCAATAAAGGCAAAGAAGGTGAGGAGCAGCCATTACTCTTTGGAGAAGTCTGCAGGAAGTTACAGTCATAGGAGAGCAGAACCAAAAGGAACTTTTGAGGGAAGGAGGAAGTTTGAATGAGCAAAAAGAATTGAGGGTAAGATTTTTAAAAAAAAGAATGTGGGAGATTTTATAGACAGGAAGATAAGACAGTTGTAAGGAAGAGGAGATTGAAGGGGGGGAGGGAGGAGGACAGGGACAGAGACAGAAAGATGGAGAAGGGGCAAGAGGGAGAGAAATAGAGGCAGATATAAGGGGAGAGGAGAGAGAGGGAGGGAGGAGGGAGGAGGAGGGGGCAGACAAACAAGAGAAAGAGGGAGACAAAGGAGAGAGTGAGTCAGAGAGACAGAAAAAAGTGGGAGAAGAAGGGACAGAGAATAGGGAGGACAGACAGGAAGGAGGAAGAGGAAGAGGAGGAGGAGGGGGGAGAGAGGGAGGGAGATGGGGAGAGAGAGAGAGAGAGAGAGAGAGAGAGAGAGAGAGAGAGAGAGAGAAGGGGAGGGAGAGAGATTGGAAGAGAGAGCAGGAGAGGGAGGAGGGAAGGGAGGGAGAAGAGGGGGTAGAGAGAGAAAGAGAGAGACACAGAGAGGCAGAGACAGAGACAGACAGACAGGGAAGGGGGAGAGGAGGGAGGGGAGAGGGAAAGAAAGAGGAGGGAGATAGGGAGATAGGGAGAGGAGAGAGAGAGAGAGAGAGAGAGAGAGAGAGAGAGAGAGAGAGAGAGAGAGAGAGAGGAGGGAGACAGAGAGACAGCATGACAGAGAGGTAGAGAGACAAAGGAGATCACTGATAGAGCAAGGTTCAGCAAAATTGTGAGAAGGGATGGAATTGAGGGGTGGTTAGTCTTTGGAAAGAAGGGACTTGCTCAGGGACAAATAAGAAGGAAAAGAGGAAAAGGTGAAGACCTGGGGCAATTTAGAGGTGAGAAGGAGGGAAGCTGAGAGGCTGTTTGACATCCCTTCTCTCTCCATGTAGAGAGTTAAGTCATCTGCTAGGCAGGAGAGGTCTGGGAGTAGAGGCAAGGACCTGAGAAGAGGACAAAGGGCTGACTTCCAACTGAGGCCTGGAGGATATCTGATATAAATACCTACGCTTTTTATCAGATCCATTACTGCCAAATTAATTCCAATTCACCAAATCTTTCCTAAGTGCTTATTCTGCACAAAGCACTGGAGGTCTGAGAGCCAGGCTGCAGGAAGAGAGCATTCCTTTTCTAACTGGTCTTCAAGTGGGGACAGACACAGTCAGGGGCATGGCTGCTGCTTGACTGCATCTAGGTTTGGGAGAAAGTCGAATAAGCCTCAGTATCCACTTGTTTTTATCAAGAATGAAATAAGATTCTGTGGCCATTTTAAAATTTATGCTATGAAACATTTTTGCAAGTGAAGAAAGTTGAAAAGTTGTAGCCTTCCCCATTCAACGTTTTATTAAATAGGTGCTCTTTACTATGTGTCTACTTAGACATTTTCCTTCTAGGACTACACAAAAGAGTGAAGAGTTTTTAGTCAAGACTATTTAGTGATTCATCAAGTGTTTACCTCTGGAGTTGCAGCCCAAACACCACCACGACCATCACACCCAAGGAGGCCACCCAATTATTTGTTTAAATTGTTGGGTTAAACAAGCCTAGTACGGTCATCAGAGAATCCCCTGATCTTACATACTGTTGTTCTTTCTATAAAGACAAGTTTCAATGAGCACAAATGGTTGAGAGGAAATAATTTGGGCCTGTTCACATTCTGATACTATAACCTTAAGCAGCAAGGTACCTTTGGATGAGCTTTTAGATATATACCTATCCAGCGTTATTGCTGCCATCAGGACTGACCTACAAATCCCAGAGGAAGCTAACCACACTTACTCTGTAGAGGAGCCCTTTGGCCTCTATCAGACCTAGATTTGAACATGCCACATCTGACTTGCTCTATACAGTGCTTCTTAAACTTTTTCCACTCGTGACCCTCAGCACTTCTTAAACTGTGGGTCAAGAAGAACAACTTCCATAAGAAAGTTTGTTACAAAAGTGGGAAGGCAGCCCATACTATGTAATGCTTTGGTTTCCTGGCCCCCCCCCCCTTTTGCTAGCTAGATGACTTGCTAGTAAATTTCTCTAAATGCAAAGTACAATAAAATCACTTGGAAGTCTACGCACTTTTATTGTAGCATCCTGGAGGCTGGACAGAACAGCAAATGTCAGTTACCATGTTTTCCTTACTACAATGAGCTACCTGCCTAGTGTTCAGTCCACCTCAACATATGCTAGAGAGGCAGCGAACAACTTTCAAGAGCGTAGACAAATCTGTACAGCTCAAATGACAAGAGACTTGAAAAACCTTCATTCCAAATGGGAGACACCAAAATCTGCAAAGCGTGAGCTCCAACAACTCACTGCCACCTCCCATGCCCGCCGTGACTGAAATCCTCTGTTCCCTTACCTCTGCCCCTTAGTTTCTCTGAGTTCCTTCAAGATTCAGCTAAGTCCCACCATGTGCAAGAGGCCTTTCCAAGTCATCTCTACCAAGCCCTCTCTCAATGCCTTTCTTTGGAGATTGTTTCTCCTTTACATTGTGTGTATATTGTACTCCCTAGATATTTACATGTTATTTCACTCATTTCAATGTGAGCTCCTTAAGAACAGGAACAATGTTTTTGCTATTCTTTCTTTCTTCTTTTTTTTGTTCTCAGCCAAAGACAAAGCTTATTAGAACATCCATCATATCGGGCAAACTCTTAAGGAGTCTGAAAATTAGTGAGCTATTGGCCAGATTATAAGAATCTGAGCAATGGCTAGATTATAAGAATCTAAGCACCTTAATGGAGACAAGATGGACCTTATATACAGAAAGTAGTTTGAGGTGACTGGAGGAGGTGTCTAAGGAAGATCTGAATGGTAGTGGCCAGTAAACAGTGGTGAACAGAACTCCTGGAACCTGGACAATGGAGCCTAGCTAGGATTAAGTGTGGGAAATGGCCAGGGGCCACAGGGAGGTCTAGGCTAGGTTAAGGGTAACAGAGAATTGGGAGATTGGGTGTAGCCACAATGAAATTGCAGTTCTTCCTATCCGTAGAACTTCTGTATAGTGCCTAGCAGTGCTTAATAAATAGCTGCTGGTTGACTGACTCTGTACCTTGTCCTTATGCCCTTTATAATAATTTTGCTAACTGGAACTCTTTTGGAAAGAAAAGGTAATCTAAAAAGAGATAAAAATAAAACCTCAAATTCTTAAGGGGGTGATAATTTGGATCACCAGTATTTAATGCCATCATTGCTCGTAATGACTTCTAAGGATAGAGAAGAAGAATGCCAGTAGTCATTAGGAATAATGATTAACTAAAAAGTATGACAAACATAAAGGGAGTTGGAATGCTTGCCTTAGGCTAGATGTACAAGTGTCCACCAAGCTCAATCATTATTAAGCCAATTCTTTTATTCTCCTTCATCAAATAATCTCAATTGATTTTGTACAACCTTTTAATGGATACACAATCACTCCCCTTTGGTTTTTTTAAGAAAGCTAAAAACACTGAAATAACCATTGTACTAATCAGGAAAGAGGCTTAGTGAAGTAACTCATGTGTAGACATAATAGATCATT